CAACAACAAAAAGTAAGTTAAGGTGTTTGCATTACAAACCCTGGCTGACTGTTCAGGACTGGGTACAGTGTTTGCAACTCTTAGGACAGTGTAACGTTAGGTAGTTTTTATACCACCTATTTGCGCAGTTGCCATCCGAAAACCATTGTCCACAGTGCGGCAAGTTATCCTCGCAGACCCCGTCTATGGGCTCAACTGGAAATATAAACCTTTGCTTAATATACTATAAATATGCCCCTCATGTAGGAAATAAGTAATTAAGAAACATAGGGGACCAGTATTCTCATGGATAAAACCACGACTTGCATTCATGATCTTTTATTTCAAACGTGGTAGTAAATGCATTAAAAACTTTGATAAACAATCATCAAATTCAGGGATAGTTTTTTTTTAATTGGGGGTGGGGGGTGGGGGGGGGGGAGGTGCAGCTCGTCAAAATTCCAATCAGCATCGAATTTCAGAGAATATGCCCCCCCCCTCCCCCCTTTAATAATCTAAGATTAGAGGTATGAAAAAATAATACCTCAGATTTATTCCGTATAACTATGCATGTGACCATTTAGGTAATAAGAACCAGGCAACAGAAATGTTTTAGTTACGTAATTCATACATAATATATAGGCGCAAAATAAACGATTGTGCACGGTCGTAGACCTTCCAACATAAATCTTGTCATCTTTGTTTTCTCCTTTGAATTTTACACGGCTTCAGAGCAATTCCATCCCATTGACTCTGATGTGACTGCCTTGGAATAATTATTTAGTTAGAAGAAGTGACAACATTGAATTTTGGCAGTTCACCACCGTTCCTTTTCAAATGGCAGTGACATGCAAACGGATTTTGCTTTCATTATAGGCACTTTCTGGACAGGAAGATTCCTTAAGTTTACAACACAGGTACCTTACCAGCGTCACAATTTGCTTTCTCCATAGCGGCCTGAATCCAGTCAACAAATGTGCTGATGCGAGCAAAAACAGAGAATGTTTTTCCACTCCTGCACCAATGGTCCCCCCAACTAACAGCTCCTCTTAAAACCCAGCGTCCGGATTCCTGGCACACAAATGGCCCTCCACTGTCACCATGGCAGCCACTGATCACAGCATTTCCCCCATAACCAGCGCACACCATGGTTATGTTGTCCACTTTTTGAGGTAAATTGATGTTTCCTGCTACACAGGTCTTATAGCTGACAACCGGAATCTTGGCTTCTTGAAGGAACTCGGAAAATTTAGAGTTGAACGAAGTTTTACCCCAGCCTTTAAGTGAAAGAAAAAGGGCGAGGGACTCGATGCATTCATATCAAGTCAGGTGCATGCACATGATACATCTTGCTTAATTTAGGACAATGGGAGGACAATGTTTAAATTAAAAAAGTCATTATGTGTCCAGGTGATAACATCATCTAGAAAGCTACAGGGGTTTTTCAGTTTTTCAGAAGACTGTCAACGAGCACAGTATTATTCATTATCACGCGTTTTAAGATAAATGGATTGCATTCCCAAAATACAAAAATTCAGTATGTCTCTCAAGCTCTTGTCTTATATTTCAAAACATTTTGTCCTCGGCTCTCAATGTATGTTAATTTGTACAGTTATTACAGAAAATTAGTTGATATTAATGAGTGTGTTTTAAGTAATTGTTAGGAGTGAGACAATTGCTATGTTAACAAATTATGTTCGGAGTTAGGGCTACCCAGAGTCTGTCGTCCGCCTTTCTACATTCTCTTCATTGCTCGCTTAGATCATAATTCATGAGCATCATTACTAAGTCAGTGCCTCTTCACATTCCATTACAATTTTGGATTATTGTTTTGTTTCAATTCACGTTATTTTAATACCTGAGAAAATGGTGAAGTCGAACATAGACATCTTGGACGCCATAGGAAAAACAATTAGACCCTGTGAACCTACCTAATATACCCTATAGCTAATACCTAAATAATAACTAAATACAGTTCTGTCTGATCTCGTGCCAGTGATTGACGAGATCGGAAGACAGCGAAACGAAAGTCTAATGTCTGCAATGCCCGCCTGGATAAGCCTACGCTATACGCGGCTAGTGTAAGTTTTAATTTGATTTTGATTTTGATTAATTGGAATAAATAATTACGAGTATGGTTACAGACAGACTTGGGGACATACGCTCCCAAAGCAATCAGAATCTTCTTAAAGTAAACTTGGAAATACAGGCTCCCAAACAAATCAGAATCTTCTCATAGTAAACTTAAGATTACAACTACAAGTTCAAAATGAAACTTACCGGTAATAAAACATTCTTTCCCTATGTCAACGCGATCTCCTTGACTTGGAAGGCAGGCAGGCCAGACTTTTCGGGGTTCAAATATAGCAGGTCTGGCCAGTTTCACCAACGCAACGTCGAAACCATAGCCACTTACCATGTAATCTTCGTGAATTTTTATGCACTTCACACTGTATACATAATTGTTACTTAAGTCCTTCAGTTCTGCTCGCCTGATCTGTCCTATATAGATATAACGGATAATTATAAAACTTGTCGTGTTATCACATACATTTCGTGTAAATTGAAAATCCTGGTTGGCTTTCGAGAGCATCGACTTCTTGGTTATAGCCATTTATTAACTGAAGCTGATAAAATTATATTAAACGTTAACGTCAGGGCGGATAATGCATTAAATTATTTTCAGAAGAGCCAACGCTCGAATGCTTCACAAACTCTTCCCGGCAGTTAATTTAGCTTTGACAATTTCTAAAATACAAGTTTCTAATTCTGCTTGATTTGACTCACTAACTGTTTTGACGTGCATCCATTTTAACCGTTCGTTTACTGAACAAGACTTGAATTCAGTTGCTCATCCACATTACAACTGAGTTTACGTTCCTCTCTGATCCTGACCAAAAAGATAAGTAGGATTTGTTTGAAAAAAAGGTTTGAATGTCACTAATGGTCGCCCCACTGACTGCCTCTGTCGAATAAATACTGACAGACAACAAACGAATTCGAGGATATTTTACAGCGTAAGAAGATACTAAGAACGATCAGCGGAAACTTAAAAAAACCCTGGTATTCCTATACCATTAGCAAGTTCTCACCTAATACTACTTTGTAATGGGTGGGATAAGGATACATAAAGACACAGTGGGCAGCGGTCACCACCCATTCATTATCAATCAAGGTCCCTCCACACCGATGGGCGAATGTTTTCTTGTCTCCTTTCAACATCAAGAGCTCCACCTGCCAAGGCCACGAACCGAGTTTGGCGTGTTCTCCTCCTACAATACGTGACAATGGATTTCGCAGTCCGCAGATATCATTTGGAAGTGTCGAGACTGCAGCAGGGAAAAACAAGGAAACCAATCGGATTACAGATGTTGCTAAGATATGTTCTTTAAATACTCAGATGACAGATTTTGCATAATGTCTGTGATCCATTCAGATACCCTCGTTTCGGCATTTTATTTTTCAGTCCCTAATCAGTGAAAACAAAACCAGCTAGGAAAAGACAGAACAGAAAGAAGACGATATTTGGGTGCATGATCATGAAATGATCTTAAGATAGCCGACATGTGAAACTCGGTTGGGGATCTTCACTGATTACGCTCAGCTCGGCACATTCTTTCCTTAAACTGCATTCTAAAACGTTTAGGATAGTACTATTAAAACCAACCGGTTAACTTTACTCTAAATTTTGTGTTCAGTTTTTAAACCTATTTTGTTATTCGTGGTCAGCGACACTCGGAAAAAAAAAAAATCAATTTTCTGCTGCTGATATCTGAAAAATAAAAAAATGCTTGTCCATGCATGACGAAGTTGAAGACATAAAGTCTGTGATTTTAAATACCTGTGTTTTGTTGGCCAAATCTTCCTAAAGAAAGCTGCACTTTAAATTTGCTCGTTTCAACTTTTCTTTTTCAAAGATATCATTAATTAATTAAGACTGGGAAATGACTGCCTCAAGTTAGCAGTCAGATATGATGAGCCAATGGTTATTATTAGCAGCAAAATGATTTAACCGGCCGTTGACCAAGGCAATTTTATACTGTCTGTGATACTGTCCTCAGGGGGGAGTAGAAATAAAAACTGCCGAGTACTTCACCTTGATTTGTCGCCAAAAGGAAGATCGCCAGAAAAATGAGCATGGTATGTAGTATTGTGCCGTTGTGCATGTATTCTGGCTCGCGTTGACTCTCATACGAAGGGTGCTGTTGCAGTGACAACGGAAACTTATGCTTTCAAGGCTTTCTCGTACTTTATCAACATCACTCTGCAAACATGCGTACCATGTCATTAATGGAAAACGCTGACGTGTGGACACTTAAGGCAGCTGCTCAAACAAATAAATATGCAAAGAATGATTATATAGTCGTTGGGGGCTTAGAAAAATCGTTTTGAGGACATGCTACCTTTGTTCAGCTATAAAATCACTTCCGATGTTAATGACAGAATAGCACTGAATAGCACAAAATTAACCTTATCTGAAGTTGGGCTGAATAGTTTAAACGGAAGCTCTAATGTAGACCGACACCTTTTTATCATTTCAGTGCTAAATAGCCGAGCTGCGTTAAAAGTCTTTTGGTCCTATTTGTGAGAACATCGCAGAGAGGACGAACAAGGAGGGAAACCCGGTTCAGGGTTGACCACGAGTTGTCATATAATCTTCTTTTGGCTCCAATCTCATGCAGTGATTTGTAGCCTAAAATAGTCTACCAGCTCGATTTAATAACACATCTTGCATTTTGATTCAAATTTCGCATATATATTCAAAATTGACAATTTGCACGTCATTTGATTGATTGAAGGGGACATGTCAGAATGATATTTATTTTTCTTGTTTGAGCCTTGTATTGCATTAAGCGAGGTGAAGACGACCTAAAGACCAGTTTTAATTTATGTGAACGTGATTAAGATTAGGGTTTTCCAAGTCGTGTATGGCTTATTTGTATGTTTTTTTTTTTCTTTCATATCACTGCACGGGGGCTAAATAAACATTGCATCAAAAAGTTACAGTATTTATTTTGTGTATGAAAGCCCCCACGTCAGGTTTACTTCGTTACACTTCCAAACTGAAACGTTTCAATCAATTAAAAAAGCCACAACGTGACCTTGGCAAATCATGCAATTCGAAAATCACTAAGTAATGCATCTTTCATAAAAAGAAAATAATAATTATTATCATATATATA